AGCGTCTGCCCTAAGATTTTGGCTGTCTCTGGGCTTTGGAGTGGTGGTTTGTTCCGCAACCTCAATTCTTTGATTGGGTCTGATTTTCTTTTTTTTTTTTTTTTTTTTTTTTTTTATAGAGGCATGTTTATTTATTTATTTATTTGTTTGTTTGTTTTGTTCATACATGCACTGGGTATAGTCAGAAGCACAGGAGGGTGAGAGAATTCACCAGAGCCAGAGCGGGGAGCAGAGCAGGCAGAAGGACCGACGTACACTGCTGAGGGGATCAGCGGGCGGCAGGAGAGGTCTGCGCGCCATGTGGGACCCTCCTCTGGTGGCCGGGGAGCAGCCGGGGATCGAACCAGCGTCGCAGAGGCTGCGGGCAGCTTCGCAACCCAGCGCTCAACCGCTGCGCCACCGGGGAGGCCCACTGATTTTCAATCGTCCATTTTTTTGTTGTAAGGACAATGGTGCCAACTTTGAAGCTCCTCAGGAGTTGAAGGGAAAACCAGATATTTTCTTTTTACTTTGAATGACCACCCGTAGCCTCCATCAGAATCCACATGTTCCTTTGTCTTCAAATTTGCCATGTTTCCTGTCTGGCAGTGCCATCAGGGGGTCTTTTGATGATAGTGTCCTAATAAGACTGAGATACTTTTTTTAAAAAAAATTTTATTTATTTATGCATACAAGAACTGTGGTGTAAGGCCAGAGGTGTGAGGGGTGAGAGGATTCACCAGAGACAGAGCGGGGAACAGAACAGGCAGACTGAATGAAATACACTCTTGAGGGGAGCAGCAGGCGAGTCAGGAGAGGTCTGCTGCGCCTTGTGGGTTAGCTCCCCGGCCAGGGGTAGAACTCATGCTGCAGTGGCTGGCAATAGCTTCACAGTGCTGCGACTTTAACCCCTGTGCCACCAGGTAGTCCAAGACTGAGATTCTTTTTTTTTTTTTTTTTTAAATTTTATTGTTATATTCCCCATACAATTGCAGCCCCCCCATTCTGACCCCAATCCCTCCCCTCCCGCCCCCGCCCCCCAAAAAAGTGTCTCTGGTTCATAGTTTTTTGTTGATTTTGATTTTCACTTTCTTATAGTTATTCATTTTCCTGGTCCCTTATTTAAGTTTTCTAGATTCCTGCTATGAGTGAGACCATCCGGTATTTTTCTTTTTCTTTTTGGCTTATTTCGCTGAGCATGATCCCTTCCAGCGCCATCCATGTTGCTGCAAATTGCATGTGTTTATCTTTTTTGAATGCTGAGTAATATTCCATGGTATATATGTACCACATCTTCTTGATCCAGTCATCTATTTTTGGGCATTTGGGTTGTTTCCAAAGCTTAGCTATTGTAAACAGTGCTGCTATAAACATAGGGGTGCAGGTGTTCTTTGGAATTGATGTTTCTGTGTCCTTTGGGTAAATACCTAGGAGTGGAATTGCTGGATCATATGGAAGCTCTATGTTTAGTAGGTCCAGAAATCTCCACACAGCTTTCCACAGTGGTTGGACCAGTTTGCACTCCCACCAACAGTGCAGAAGAGTTCCTTTTTCTCCACACCCTCGCCAGCATTTGTTGTTGCTAGTTTTTTTAATATGTGCCATTCTCACTGGTGTGAGATGGTATCTCATGGTAGTTTTGATTTGCATTTCCCTGATGGCAAGTGATGTTGAACATTTTATCATATGCCTGTTGGCCATTTGCATTTCCTCTTCAGAGAAGTTTCTTTTTAGCTCTTCTGCCCATTTTTTGACTGGATTATTTTCTTTGTTGTTGTTGAGTCTCATCAGCTCTTTGCAGATTTTTGTGATCAGTCCTTTATCATTAGTGTTGGGTGCAAAAATGTTCTCCCAGTTGGTGGGGTTTCTCTTTGTTTTTGTTATTGTCTCTTTTGCTGTGCAGAAGCTCTTTAATTTGATGTAGTCCCAGCTGTTTATCTTTGCCTTCACTATCACTGCTTTGGGTGATGTGTCTGTAAAGATGCCAAGACTGAGATTCTTAAGGATCTGAGTTTGATCTTTTTTGTCTGTAAGATTTTGCACAGATAAAACGCTTAGTGTTGCTGGTTGATTTTATTTGCTCACTTGTATTTATGGCACTCGTTTGGAGAATAAAAGCATTTGTGCTAAAGGTGTTAGCCAGAATCCTCTAAATTTTCTTCTGTGCTTTTGAATTAACTTTCCTGGTCTCCAAATCAAGGTCTTATTTTCTTAGCAAGGTTAGAACAAGGCACACTTCACTTATTGTAGATCAAGATTTACAAAAGTAGTCAAGATCTGATAAGTCCTGACTTTTTTCTTGATTTCTTTTTGTAATGACTTAAGTAGAAATGTTAAGATCAAATCTGACCAAATTCCAGGATATCAAAGGTTCTAAGCTAAGTGCCCAAACCTGGCAGTATCAGAATTATCTGCAAAGCTTTTAAAAACAAAAATCCTGTGGTCAGTCAGAAAGTAACTGTGATATGCAGCTAAGTTTAGGAAAATAAGATACTTTGCATCAGCAAGCTTTTAATATCCAGAAGTGTTTTCTGCATTCACTTAAAATTGTACTAAAAAAAAAACCTTATCTATCCATTTACTTTTTTCAACTTAGAGGACAAAGGAAATGTTACTGAAAATCTATCCGTCCTTGCATTCAATAATTTATTCAGCACCAAGTAAAGGCTGGGTACCAAGCCACAGGTCCCTATCCACAAGAAGGCAGATGTGCCTTTAGAGTCTAAATCCAGAGTCCTCATATCCTGGATTACCTTGCAGAACATCAGTATTTTTCACTGAAAGGAAAACATCACTTACTTCACAGGGAAATTGTGATGAGATGGCAAAGGAACTGCTGAGGAAAACTTCTATACTCTACCCTCCTAAAATGTCTCCCATTTCCTCCTCCAAACACTTGCATATTGTAATAATTACAGCTGGCATCCACTGAGCACACTATATATGCCAGGCGGTGTGCTGAACTCTGTCCATCCATACCTCAAACAAATTTATCTGTAAAGACAGAGTGGGCAGTAGTCTCCTCCTTTCATTGGCTATGTTCATCCTTATCCCCCTAACTAGAACAGCAAAAGCAAGCAAACTGCAACAAGACAAGGGCTTTGAAACTAGAGTGGCCCAAATCAAGAGGGGTGAATAGAAAAATCACAGGATGGAAGGATGGGGTGCTGCCCAGTCACCCCTCCCACCCCGCTTTCCTCAGAGGTCATGTCACTCCTGAGGGTCATGATGGCTGAACCTCTGAGCAGGAAAGCAAATACCAGATAAACCTATCCAGGAACTGCCGTGGGTTTAGGGTACTATTTGCTGCTACTATTACTACATCTGATTACCACTGTCATCAGATAACTATTACTAAGCCAGTCCCAGACTGTGCTGTTCTGTGGATTTTACATTTAGTCTTTCACCACTGTAAGTTACTGAAGATACCATTGGTGTTGACCCTTCACAACTGGCAGGGGTTGAGACAAGGCACTTAAGGAGAGGGCTCAGAGTCTGAGACTTTCACTGCCAAATTAACTTCCATTCTTTTAGGAAGAGGCTTACTAGCATTCAGGACTTTTTATGTGGTTAGATTAACAGTGCTTGCATTTTTACTTCCCAGGGTTAAAGGTATATATAGTTTTACATAGATCATGGTTTCAATACTATAAGCGATGGCATTGAAAAGTACCTTCCTGCATTAGGCAAAGACAGTTGGAATACCCAACTTTTTGCCTAGCTGAAAACCTTCAGCTTTTTGAGAGAATGCCTGTCCTTAGGGAATTGTGGGGAGGTTAGAAGTACGCAGGCTATAACAACCCATCCTATAACAAACCAAATTATTTGTCAATAAATGATCAAAATCAAAAGAACTCCAGTGAGTGGAACCCCTGACACTGTTGATAGTTTTTCTGTTTTGGGAGGCTGTCTTGTGTGTGTTGTAGACTTAGTAGCATCTCTAACTTCTGCCTACTAGACTCCTGCATTCCCCAATTTTGACAACCAAGACACTGGCAAATGTCTTGGGAGTGTGGGAGAGAGAGAGCAGCAAAATCATGCCAGTTGAGAACCAATGCTTTAGAGAAATTAATCAGTTAAGCAAAGCCACCGTTTTGGCTTTGTTCTGCATACCCAAAATTAACAGCATTTGTTTACTTTTCTAGCTCATTGAAATGCCACATGTTGCTTAGCTTTGTGCCTTATAGTAAATGTTCAGTATTACGGGACTGTGAAATGTTACTTGAGCCTCATAGGGTAGCTCTGACTTCTTCCTATGATTTCCAGTCTACTTTATATACACCCTACTGTGGCTAAGACCTAAGTTGGTTTCTTCTTAAATAGACTGGCTCACCTCTGGAGGAGACACCTCTTGAGTAGGAGGACAAACATTCCTCACTGTGGGGGCCAAGTCTAGGTCACAGTGGGTTCCAAACCACCAGATGTGCAGATTCAAGTTAGAGACCACATTCTGGCTGTTCATTCTGGTCAAAATGAACCTTGGCAGCAAAGAGTTGCACACTTTCTAGTTTCTTATCATTTGTATAAGTCAGGCTGGAACACAGTGCCCTTCTCCCTCAAAGAGGATGAAAGGTGCCACTTTCCCGAGGCAAATTAAAGAGAAAGCATGAATCTGCTGACTAAGGCTTATTAAACCCGTGCTAAGTTTGTTTAAACAGGTCACTCAGCTGAAGTAGGAAAAAAATTCTTCTGAAAAACAGAAGGTATGGTATTGACTTATCTTAACAGGCCTTTTAAAAAGAATGACTTAAGATTATAAAGCGTTTTTCAAATACACAAAGTGATTCATAACGATTCAATAAGCCTTAAGGAATGCTTTTTTCAGTACATCACTTTTTGTGTTGTTTAAAAGAAAATACCCCATTCAAAGGGTGGTGGCATATTTGATATCACCCCAGTTTAAAGAGGAATGGGGTTACAGGAATGAGAAGTATATAATTAGTAAATAATCCCTCTCAACAAGTGAGTTAAGTAGTAAAGCTACAGAGGGAGAAAAGAAAAGCCAGAGGCAACACAATCAGTGCATATCAGAAATGCGTTTTTATTTTTATTTGAAAACAAATTTTTAGACAAATGATTTTAGTATATAAATTTGATTTTGTTTTTATACTGAATATAAAGACTTCCCTCACTGATCTTCCATGTAAAGGATATTACAAGCCTGAAGGGAGATATTTTCTGCACACAAGTGTGTAACTTGCGTCCGTGGAACTGGAAACCAGTGGTGTAGTGCTCCTACACATAACTTAGGTCAAGTGGCATCACGTATTAAAAAGGGGAAAAGAGAAATATTCTAGTTAATCAGATTCAAGAAGCAAACATGACACAAAAAACTGTGCATATAAGACCAAGTCAGTAACTTTAGTTAAGACACTGCAGAATGTACTGGAGTAACAGGTTGGTGAGGCTATAGTGTGCACCACATTAAGACAGCAAGGAAGAGCTATTTATACAGAAAGGCTGGAATGCAGGATTTTCACTAAAGCAAATTAACTTCTTGTCAACTGCCAAAACAAAACAAAACAAAATTGAGCATGAGTGTTAGTATACTGAAGGCATGTTATACCAGTTTCTGTGCAGCATGCTAAAGTTAGTTAGAACTTCTTCACCGGTGCATGTGAATCATTAATAGTCACAGAAAAGTTTTCTGCCCCTTCTTGCTTAACTTCAGGCATGTCTTATCTTAGATGGTGTATAACTTTTATCTATAATTTCATCCTGTAAAAACATGTGAAGACAGCGTTCATTCTGTGCCAGAGGATGACCAGCGACCCTAGGAATAAAAATACAAATTAAGTTCAATACTTTATGGAGGGACTCAACACATATTTTAAGGTTAAGGAGCACATAACATTTAGTAATAAGAGTGATTCAGGTCTGCTCATAAAGGGATGCTCTATCAACTAATGGTATATTTTCTTTCCTTTGGTTCACAAGGATAATTTATAAGACATGTAATATCTAGTTTTGTACTGCTTCTGGCATAAGTACCCAATTAACTTCCTTATATATTAGTTGGTATAGTCATAAGGAACCTAAAAGAATTTTAATGTCAAAAGTGAAATGTCACTGATAAGTAAGAATAGATTTTAAAGAAGGGAAAAATAGGATTAGAGTTAAGAAAAACTTCAAAGTTCAATGAAAACCCCAAATACTAAGAAATAGGCATAAATGCCCATGGCTTTTTTTCTTTTTTGTGTGGTTATAATTTTTCAGTCTTTTTGGTTTTTGCTTGCCACACAAGAACAGACTGGGCAACTAGACTTTTCAGAATTAAAAAATATTGAAGCTAGTACTGTCGTCTCCAAAAGGAGAAGGTTGTATGCTTCAGGAGATAACTAAAAGGCTTTTTTTTTTTTTTTTTTGATAACTAAAAGGCTTTTGTATAACTTTCCTTTCTGTTTATGACTCACAGATCTTAAATCACTGTATTAAAATTAAAATGCTGCCAGTAAGTAAACTCAAACAAATGTATTTTCTAGGATATGACTTTATTTGGGCAAACTTAAGGCCAATGTACAATTATAACAAGTCCTTTCCTGGTACAACTTTTCCTATTATTTGGCTTTTAAGAAATGGCTATATTTCAAATGGGAATAAAATTAAAAGTTGGAAATTTTTGGTTGCACTTAAAGAGTTTATAAAGTAAAAAATTAACAATTTCAAGCTTTACACTTTTGAAAGAATACATTTTGCCATGAAAATTTTTAAAGTGTGCCTTTACATAAGACATGCTGATAATACCTCCATCTGTAAATAAATGATTGCCAAGTATATTGTAAGCTTTATTGTTCACACTAGAACATACCTTAAATCAGAAAGAACGGTAGTAATACTGTATTTTTAAATGGTGCAATTTTAAATGTAATTTGCATAAATTAACCAAAAAACACAAATATGAATCTCAGGTCAACTTGAAGATAATCATTTTCAATCACTCAAGTGTGTTAATATTTATCACATGATATTTAATTGTTATATACTTTTATTTTGTTAAACTGATACAAAAAATTAGTTAGGAAATGGCCAAACAGGAAAGTGCTACCACATTTTTAACTTGTACCTACATTACTACTAGTCATCTAAGTCATCTCAAAACATGTTCATTCTCACACCTTGAGGAACTGAAAGCACTTACTTGTTTATGAACTGCTCCAGTCCTTGCTTCCTTTCTTCAATAAAATTGTCATCAAATATTCCATCATCTCCCCTAAAAGGAAGCTGACGCAAAAATGCTTTCCCAGGAAGCGGGGGAACTACGACCTAGAATAATACAAGGAAAGAAAGTTCTTGTATGTTGTGAAAATCTGTAGAGGGCAACATGAAATCAAAGTATATCCTCACTGTAAGAGTATTCCCCCTGCTAATTTATTTTTTAAATTATCTTTAAAAAAGATTTAGTTTCATTTATTTATGCATATAAGAACTAGGGTGTAGGCCAGAGGTGGGGGGAGGTGAGAGGATTCACCAAGACAGAGTCAGGAGCAGAACAGGTGGATCTACTGAAATACACTGCTGAAAGGGGAGCAGTGGGCGAGGTCTGCTGTGCCATGTGGGTCAGCTCCCTGGCAGGGGATGGAACTCAGGCCATGGTGGTAATAGTGCTGAGCTTAACCCCTGAGACACCAAGGAGCTCCCTCCCTCTCCCCCGTTAATTTAAATATAAAAGAGAATCAGTGAAAAAACACATTGAAAAAAAGATTCAATATTTTGAGGCAAGATAACCAAATGTAGAACAGTTCATCAGACCAAAGCTCCACAATGGCAGGGCTGAGAGCTTAATTATCATTTTTCCTGGACTTATCAAAGCAGAGTTATACAAAAAGAACATTCAGGCAACACTGAAATATGCCCTCTCAGACAGTTTTGATGCCACTTGGGAAAGACAATGCTTTATTTCAAAGGAAACTGCAGAGCTCAAAATCAACTCTCAATTACATGAAGAAATAAAATATTAACAACGTTTTCTCTGGCACAGGCTCGAAAGAATTCTGTGGTTAGCTTCTCCAACTTCATACCACCTGCATATAGTCTTTCCTGTATGTGTCTGAGGTGATGATACTTTTTTAAAAAAAAAAGATTTATTTATTTATGCATACAAGAGCTGGGGTATAGGCCAGAAATGCAGGGGGTGAGAGGATTCACCAGCGACAGAGTGGGGAACAGAACAGGCAGATCTACTGAAATACACTGCTGAGGGGAGCAGCGGGCGAGACAGGAGAGGTCTGCTGCGCCATGTGGGTTGCTCCCTGGCTGGCTGGGGATCGAACTAGTGCTGCAGAGGCTTCGGACTGCTTCACAGTGTGGTGTTTAACCCCGTGCGCCACCAGGGAGGCCCTGAGGTGATGATACTTGTTGCCACTATTCATTTTCTAGGCTAAGAAAGATGCAAACTTTCTCTTAACTCCCCTATGCCATCTCCCCAAAAGATATGACATTTCCTCCTGTCCATGTTCTTAGAACTTTCCAAACTTCCCCTTTTAAAGCCTAACTATCCTTTTAGGGTCAACTTATATTGATCTGTCTCTCTTATTACCTGGAGCTCAAATATTTGTTTGAATTCTATAGCACATATTTATTTATTTCCCAGGCTTGTTTTGTTTCTATACCCTAGGGCTTCTTCAACCAAGGTATCATTAACATTTTGAACCAAATAATTACTTGTACGTGTGTTTCTTGTGCATTATTGAATATTTAAGAGCAATCTAGGCTTCTATCCAACTAGAAGCCACCAGTAGCACCCTCTAGTTGTGACAATAAAAAATGTCTCCAAACACTGGCAAATCTTTCCTGGAGGACAAAATTGTCCTCATGGAGAACCAATAATCTATCTTATTAATGTCTTCAAAACAAGGGCCTGGCTTAGGTTTCTTATGGTCATTTTAAGAAAAACTAGGCATACAAAAGAATTTCAAATATCTGTTAAATAACTAACCACATAGGTAGATCCCTAGTTTACACCAAAACTGAGAAAATATGTAAGTGAACAACTTAAGGAGAAATAGAAATAGTAAACGCCAGGAATACAAATCATACATATTCTAAAAGAGACAAAACTTTAAATCCTTGAAGCAGTTTCTATAACTGGGAGTTTATTCTGAAATAATTAAAAGGATGGAAGAAGGACAAGATCAACACTTCATACAGATCAGCAAAAAAGCAGAAAAAAAATTACCAAATCAAACGCCCAACATAAACTTTGTAACACCTTCCTAGATCTACTCTCCCCACATGACTAGTGATGAGACATCTAAAGATTTATCTCTAATGGAGAAATGAAATGATACATCCATATAACAGAATATTATTTGTCAATAAAAAGAAATGAAGTACCAATTAATGTTAAAGTAGGATGAAACCTGAAAACATGCTTAGTGAAGAAATTAGGCACAAAAGACTACATGGCCTATGATTCTACTTACATGATATGTTCAGATTATGCAAATCCATAAAGAAATTGTTAGAACTACTAATGGGTATGGTTTGCTTTTCATGGAGTGATTGAAATATTCCAAAATTGACTGTAGTGATGGTTTCACAACTTGGGTACTAAGAACCATTGAACTGTATACTTTAAATGGGTGAAATGTATGGCATGTGAATTACATGTCAAGAAAGCTGTTATTTTAAATATATTTTTTTAAAGATTTATTTATTTATTTATACAAGCACTGGGTACAGTCAGAAGCGCGGGAGGGTGAGAGAATTCACCAGAGCCAGAGCGGGGAGCAGGGCAGGCAGAAGGACCGAAGTACACTGCTGAGGGGACAGAGGGCGGCAGGGGAGGTCTGCGCGCCATGTGGGACCCTCCTCCGGTGGCCGGGGAGCAGCCGGGGATCGAACCAGTGCTGCAGAGGCTGCAGGCAGCTTCGCAACCCAGCACTCAACCGCTGCGCCACCGGGGAGGCCCTATTTTAAATATTTTTTAAGATTTATTTTTTATTTATGTATACAAGAACTGGGTGCTGGCCAGAGGTGTGAGAAGAGGGGTGAAAGGATTCACCAGGGACAGAGTGGGGAGCAGAACAGGCAAACTGACTGAAATACACTGCTGAGGAGAGCTGCGGGCGAGGCAGGAGAGGTCTGTCTCGCCATGTGGGTTGCTCCCTGGCCAGGGATCGAACTCATGCTGCAGTAGCTGTGGATAGCTTGATAATGCTGTCTCTAACTCCTGTGCCACCAGGGAGGCCCTCTGTTACTTTTTTTTAAAAGTGATATATACATTCACCAAATGTTTATTAAGCACTCCCTTGTGCTTAATTATAGTTTCAATAGTGATATATTCTGGTCTTTAATTCCTGCATGGTTTAACTATGGTTAACAATACTGAATTGTATACTTAAAAGTTGGAATAAGAAAGTCTTTTTTTTTTTTTTAAAGATTGATTTATTTATTTAGACAAAGATTGATTTATTTATTTGTTTGTTTGTTTATACAAGCACTGGGTACAGTCAGAAGCGCGGGAGGGTGAGAGAATTCACCAGAGCCAGAGCGGGGAGCAGAGCAGGCAGAAGGACCGAAGTACCCTGCTGAGGGGAGCAGTGGGCGGCAGGAGAGGTCTGCGCGCCATGCGGGACCCTCCTCCGGTGGCCGGGGAGCAGCCGGGGATCGAACTGGCACTGCAGAGGCTGCTGGCAGCTTCGCAACCCAGCGCTCAACCACTGCGCCACCGGGGAAGCCCCAAGAAAGTCTTAAATGTTCTCAACAAAATAAAACTAAACAAAACACAACACAACACAACCCAGGGAACTATGTGAGTTAATATATACATTAAGTAGCCTTATAGTAGTAATCATTTTATATATAAAATCATGTGGCATAGTGTAAACATTTATCAACTATATCTCAATAAAGCTGCAAAGAAAAAAATATACACTAACTCTCCACTAAGATCATAAAAATTTTCTTCATTACTAAGACTCTCCTAACTTACTTAGATCTTCAAGCCATCTATAATTCATTTACAGTGAGTTAAAAATCTTTACTCTCAAATGGTCAAATGTTTCAACCCCACTTACTAAATGTAATTCCTTTGCCTGACTGACCTTTTTTTTGTTGTGAATTAAATGGTCAATAAATACAAAGCTTCCAAATTCTATTATATTTCACTTATTTATTTGAACATTCCTAAAGCAATACCACATTGTTTTTAATCACTATGGCCTTAAGATATGTTACAACATCTGCAGGTGCTCAATATGTTGATAAAAACTTCTGGTTATTCTTGAGCTATCTGATTCTAAAGCTCATATATAAATCCATAAGTTTTATAAAGATCCCACTAAGATTATATTTGAATTTTATGAATTTATGTAAGTTAGGAGCTACTGCCTTATTTCTGTCAGGTCTACTGCTAAATGTTACCTCCATGTGAGGTCTTTCCTTGAATACCACACTATTAAATTAGAGTAGCTCTCCTGGCACTCCCTATTTCCCTTAATTTTTGTTTTTTGTTTGTTTATTTTTCAGAGCATATCATCACTGACATAATACCTTTTTTCCCCCTGCCTTCCCTTTTACCACCACCTTAGCTTACCAAGTAGAATGTAAGCACCATAAAATTGGAAACCATAATTTATTCACAGTTTTATCTGTAACTCACAGAAACACACAGAATGAGCTCTCAAATATTTATAGGGTACGTGAATCTTTTAAAAAGATTCTATCAAAAACCCAGATATAAACCCACGTATGTATGGACAACTAATCTTTACAAAGGAGCAAAAAATATGCAACGGAACAAGGACAGTTTGTTCAATAAATGGTGCTGAGAAACTGGACTGCTACATGCAAAAGAATGAAGCTAGACTACTACCTCAAACCACGCACAAAAACCAACTCGAAACGGATAAAAGAACTGAAGACCTGAAACCATAAACTACAGAGAGGAAAATATAGGCAAAACACTATATGAAATGCATCTCAGTAACATCATTAAAGACACATTCCCCAAAACAAAGAAAGTGAAGGAAAAGATGAACAGCTGGGATTGTATCAAACTAAAAAGCTTCTGTACAGCAAAAGAGACATTAACCAAAACAAAGAGACACCCTAATTGGGAGAAAAATTTTGCACACAATACAACTGATAAGGGACTGATCACAAAGACCTACCAAGCTGACATGACTCAACAAAAACAAAGTAAACAATCCAGTCAAAAAATGGGCAGAAAAGCTAAAAAAAAAAACACTTCTCCAAAGAGGAAATGCAAATGGCCAATGGATACATGAAAAAATGTTCAACATCACTTGTAATCAGGGAAATGCAAATCAAAACCATGATGAGATGCCACCTTACACCAGTGAAAATGGCACATATTAAAAAAACAGGAACAACAAATGTTGGTGTGGATGTGGAGAAAAAGGAACTCTCCTACATTGCTGGTGGGAGTGCAAACTGGTCCAACCATTATGGAAAGCTGTGTGGAGATTCCTCACACTACTAAAAATGGAGCTTCCATATGACCCAGAAATTCCACTAGGGATCTACCCAAAGGACACAAAAACATTAATTCAAAAGGACACCTGCACCCCTATGTCTACTACAGCACTATTTACAATAGCTAAGCTTTGGAAACAACCCAAATGTCCAAAAATAGATGAGTGGATCAAGAAGATGTGGTACATATACACAATGGAATACTATTGAGCAATCAAAAAAGATAAATTCATGCCATTTGCAGCAACATGGATGGAGCTGGCAGGGATTATCCTCAGTGAAATAAGCCAGAACGAAAAGAAATATCGGATGGTTTCACTTACAGGAGGAATCTAGGGGAACCAAATAAGGTGTCAGGAAAAAATTAATAAAAAACAAAAATTAACAGGTAACTATAAATCAGAGACATTCTGCAGGGGAGGGGGAGGAAGTGGGATCAAAACAGGGGAGGGAAGGGCACAAAGGATGATGGTGATGGTGCACGGGTGAATTGGTGGTGGAATTTCACAGGATTACACCTGAGAGGAGAAAGCATACATTGTACCAAAAGGAAGAATGATGTAAAAGATACATAAAAAATAAATAAATAAAAATAGTGATCCTGCAAAACAAAACAGAAAGTGAATATTCTAAACTGAAAATATTGTATTATTTCTGTTTATTAAGGTTTTCTTTTGTCTTTCAGTGCAGCTTTAAGCTTTCTTTACAGGGGTCTTGTATTTTTAGTTTTTAATCATAAACATCTTATACTTTGATATTCTTTTAAATTATTATTTTTTTTTTAAAGATTTATTTTTTTATTGATTGATTGATTGATTGATTTATACATACAAGCACTGGGTACAGTCAGAAGCGCGGGAGGGTGAGAGAATTCACCAGAGCCAGAGCGGGGAGCAGAGCAGGCAGAAGGACCGAAATACACTGCTGAGGGGAGCAGCAGGCGGCAGGAGAGGTCTGCGCGCCATGTGGGACCCTCCTCCGGTGGCCGGGGAGCAGCCGGGGATCGAACCAGCGCTGCAGAGGCTGCGGGCAGCTTCGCAACCCAGCGCTCAACCGCTGCGCCACCGGGGAGGCCCCTTGATATTCTTTTGAGTGAATTTTTTTCCTTTACATTTTCATGGGATGTTATGATGTATGTATATTCCTCTAATATACAGACACATTAATCTGGTTAAGGAAGTTTCCTTTCAGATTTTATGCTGCAGAAATGAGCATTAGAAAGCCTTAACCTACTTCAGGGCGCCTACCATTCCTACCTCTTTCCTAGCACACTGTAGCCATAATGTCATCATTCTCAGCATTTCTCATGAAATGAGAAACATTAGAATGGCACCTTGCTCTAGTTTTTTTTACAACCAAAGTCACCAAATTTTCTTCTAAAAGAAGACAATTCTTATGAAGGCATATAATAGTGTTGTCAAAGAGCAGGCAGCAACCTATTGTAACATCAAGATTATCAATTAAAAAGCTAATCTGAAGAGTATTACATTAGCTCATTCACACAGAGTAAGGTAAGTACTGGCTTATGAAACTTGTCATATGTGCATGTATGATAATGAAAAATGTATTTGGGCCTCCCTGGTGGCACAAGAGGTTAAGTTTCAGCACTATGAAGCTATCAGCAGCCACTTCAACCAGGGAGCTGACCCACATGGCCCAGAAGACATCTCCTGTCTTACCCGCTGCTCCCCTCAGCAGTGTATTTCAGTCAGTCCGCCTGTTCTGCTCCCCAATCTCTCTCTGGTGAATCCTCTCACTCCCCCTACACCTCTGGCCTACAACCCCAGCTCTTGTATGTATAAATAAAATAAATTTTTTTTAAAGATTTGTTTATGCATGCAATAACTGGGGTACAGGCTAGAGGTGCTGGGGGTGAGAGGATTCACCAGAGACAGGGTGGGGAGCAGAACAGGTGGACTGACTGAAATATACTGCTGAGGTGAGCAGTGCGCACGACAGGAGAGGTATGCTGCACCATGTGGGTCACCTCCCTAGCTGGGGACAGAACTCGTGCTGTAGTAGCTGTGGACAGCTTCATAGTGCTGACGTTTAACCCCTTGTGCCACAGAGAAGCCCCTAAAATAAATCTTTAAAAGAAAAAATGTATTTATTATAAGTCTGTTTAAAAAAATAACCTGGAAATATACTGACATGAGATATACTGAGGGAGAGACACTTGGCAAAGGCTCTAGAGGGAGGATGGTGGAAGATGAGGGAAGGTAAGAGAATATTAGCAAGAAAGTTCTAAGAAGTATTACCCTAGTGAGTCAGCAAAGGTCTCAATTAGCTCACTGAAGTAGACAAGAGAAAGAACAGAGTTCTAAGGGAACTCTCCCACTAAGTAAGGTAAAACTGAACTATTCTGGGGAAAAAATTAAAATTCATAATGTTTTGCTTTAAAAATCACATTATAGAGCCTCCCTGGTGGCACAGCCGGTTGAGCACAGAGTTATGAAGCTGTCCATAGCCTCTGCAGCCCAGGTTCGATTCCCGGCCAGCTGGGGAGATTCCCACATGGCGTGGCAGACCTCTCCTGTCGCACCAGCTGCTTCCCTCAGCAGTGTATTTCGGTCATCTGCCTGTTCTGCTCCCTGCTCTGTCTCTGGTGAATCCTCTCACCCTCCCGCACCTCTGGCCTGTACCCCAGCTCTTATATAAAAATAAATAAATCTTGAAAAAAGAAATCGCATTACAAATAATTCTTACCTTGCTCTCTCTTTCTAACTCACTCCTCAGCCATTCAAAATCACTGTATCTTCTTCTAACAGTAGATTCCTTCAGCTTGAAAATAGGTAGATTTGTCTGAAAAAAAAAAAAAAGAACAACAACAAAACAAAAATGTCACTCCAAGCTGAAGCATGTTACAGGGACTTCTAAAAAGGGGGAGGGGAACCTGTTTGTCAAATTAATAACAAGGCAATCTCAGGAACTTTAAGAAAAGCATAATGTTATTAAGATGATATTTTACCTTTAAGGAAACAAAACTTGGCTGTTTAAAAGTATGTTATTTATACTAGATTACAACTTTTAAAATGAATGTTTGCAATATGCTTTTTAATGTCATTTTGTCTGAGGTTAGTTACATAAATAAAGGTCATTTTTCCTATTTCAACAAGTTATAAAAATGTCACTGAATAGGGTGAGGTAAGTCTAGCTCTGATTACCAGCCAGTTTAAATAGTACATTAGTGTACAATGTTCACAGGTGAAGAAGACCTTAACTACTTTGAAATGATATACAAAATATTTTATTAGGACTAGATTACATAATACATAATGAAAGTAATGAATAAAGAACTATTTTTCATTGTTGTCTTAAAAACTCACTAAGCAGTGGAGAAAGAGTACAATGCCTACAACTCTTCCACCAGCCAGAAACTAGGAGCAATACCATTAGATTAGATTCACAGATCCAAAGCTTCACAGACTAAGTGCAAATTTAAGAGATGAATGTGGGTCTTCCTGGTGGCCCAAGGGGTTATGACACAACCTATGAAGTTGTCCGCAGCCTCTGCAGCACCAGTTCGATCCCCTGGCCAGCCAGGGAGCAACCCACATGGCACAGCAGACCTCTTCCTGACTTGCCTACTGCTCCCCTCAGCAATGTATTTCGGTCAATCTGCCTGTTCTGGTCCCCACTATGTTTCTGGTGAATCCTCTCACCCCCCATACCTCTGGCCTGTACCCCAGTTCTTGTATGCATAAATAAATAAATCTTTAAAAAAAAAAACAAATAAAATATTCCAGCACTGGTAAATCCTAAAATTAGCAGGCAATCCCTTAAAAAAAAAAAAAAAAAAAAAAGAAAAGAATGTAATGCCCAGGACCTTAAGGTTACATAAAAATGGAAGAAAATTTTCAGATAGTGCCCTTCAAAAGTTTATGAAGACTACTGTCAACTTTTAAAAATACTGAGATTTCTATTATGTTTTGCTGTTCACTATCAAAAAGAAAATTTACACCAAATCCAATTTAAAATGGCCGGTGATTATGGACTATTCACAAAGCTATATACTACCACGACTTTATCAAGAATATACTTTAAAATGCACATATCACAAAGATTACAATGAAGAGAAATTATCTGTCATCAGTAAAGCTATACCACACTGAAAATGACACTTAATACTATTTATCCTTATATTCTTTCCTTAATTCAGTATTTGCATTTGCAGAACTACTAATTGTTTTACAGCTGGAAAAAGGTTAAAAAGGCTTTCTACTTTGTATACAGGGGCTTCATCATAAAATTCATTCCTAAGAAAATCTCAATCATTTGTTAAATTTAATGCCACTGGTAAGTAATTGTCATTCAGTAAAAGAAAAAGCTTTTTATTCAGGATCTTAAATCCATTTTGTAGTAGTCTCCATTTTTCCAAAGTGTATTAACTTCTCTATGTTGTATACCTTATAGCTTGAAATCTTCTACAGATGCTATTGGGCACAACACTGTATAGGTTTCAGTCATGAAACCAAATCTCACAAGAGGTTTAAAAGCACTTGAATTTTCTTTCCCAGGTAACCACAACATTTGTTCATTGTATTAATGACTAAGAGCAAAATTGCACCTAACAAGACTCTTATTATACTAAAAGTCAAGCTTATATTTAGAGATGCTGGCTTGCAGTACAGAGGGGTATTCTCATTCCCTACGGGGAATAAAATTAGGTCCCCTGGAGAGCAGGATGATAATTCCCAGAAAGAAAGCACTGGATTATTTCTCTCTAATTTCACCCATTGGCTTTTTAACCAAGTTCACCCTTCCGCATTAAAATATTAAGTCTTTGTAAGTGTCTAAAGATAGAAAGGCCTTTACAGAATTGAGTGTTTTCTGCAGGTGAGATTTTACATTTTGAATTCCCTCCTCTCAAATTACTTTACAAAAGGGATTAGCTGCTCTCTTTATTCAATATGTTAAGATCAAGCTTGTGAAAAGAGTTCCCTAAGAATTTTCATACTTCTGGGTACGGAAGTCTATAAAGTTAATCTCTGAAACAACATATCAAGCTTACAGGTACAATGTTGAGGGAAGAGTGCCAATTCAGCTCATTTTACCTTCAATTTTCCCTTTTGAACTTTTGACACAATCATGATTATATCTCACTCACTTTAACAGAAGAGGAGTGGGAGGGAGAAGTCCATTTCTTTCTAAGATTGTTTGATAGGTCATATATAAAAAAGGATCATGGTTATTTAACAAAATTCTCTTAGGTTTCTCAGATGGCTGATTTCTCTTTATATGAGGACTACTTTAGAGTTGATAAATTATGTTAAATAATTCTTTTTTAAAAAAGATTTATTTTATTTATTTATACATACAAGAGCTGGGGTGTGGGCCAGAGGCGCAGGGGGAGGGGGGCGAAGATTCACCAGAGACAGAGTGCGGAGCAGAGAACAGGCGGATCTACTGAAATACACTGTTGAGGGGAGCACCGGGCAAGACAGGAGAGGTCTGCAGGGCCATGTGGGTTAGCTCCCTGGCTGGCAATAGCTTGCTAGCACTGAGACTTAACCCCTTGCACCACCACAGAGGCCTAATTCTTAATATTATTTTCTTTTTACATTTATAGCAAGCATTTATACATTTTCTTTTTACATTTATAGCAAGATTGTCTACTTGCTTCTTCCTAAGCATCACAAAGATATTCAACTTGGTCAAAACAAACAAACAGAAAATGTTGAGTTTTTTGGTGAAAGCCAGTGAACTATCACCATTGATTATAAACTCTCACGGACTGGTCACTTTCAATTTACTTAATCCTTATAAAACGTTGTATTTTGGTTGTCTAAAGAGAAGTCTAAACGTTGTATTTTGTTATCTAAGGATAACTGCCCTTTTCATACAGTTTTGGGAGGATTCAACTCTTAGTCAATTTGGGAGCATCCATGAATGATGAGTATGATGCAGTCTAGCCCTTATGAAGCTTACATTCGGGAGGCTGCAAGTACATTGAAAGTTAAATTCATAGCTAAAAATACCATATACTGTAAGCAAAACAACCATAAATACAATAGCAAATTGTAGACAAGTATTTGCAACATAAAACAAAGGTATAATTTCATTAAAATGTAAAGAGTTTAGAAACCAATAAAAGATAATGAACAATCTGATGAAACTGGCAGAACACAGAAAAACTAGGGGCCAATAATGTTCAACAACTTCACTTACCCAAGAAATGCTAAGTAAAATAATAAGATCCCATTTTCATTTTTCAGACAGGCAGGTATTAAATTGTAATGCCCAGCCATATTAAGAATAGAGAGAGAGGGGCCTCCCTGGTGGCGCAGTGGTTGAGCGCTGGGTTGAGAAGCTGCCCGCGGCCTCTGTGGCGCCGGTTCGATCCCCGGCTGCTCCCCAGCCACCGGAGGAGGGTCCCACATGGCGCGCAGACCTCTCCTGCCGCCCGCTGCTCCCCTCAGCAGTGTACTTCGGTCCTTCTGCCTGCTCTGCTCCCCGCTCTGGCTCTGGTGAATTCTCTCACCCTCCCGCGCTTCTGACTGTACCCAGTGCATGTATAAACAGAACAAACAAACAAACAAATAAATAAATAACATGCCTCTATAAAAAAAAAAAAAAAAAAAAAAAGAATAAAGAGAGAGGCATCTGAAAAACTGCTGATGGTAGTGAAAACTGGTACAACTTTTAATGAGGGCATTTTGGTGATATCTATGCCTCTTTGGAGCCAATAATTCCACTAGGAATTAATCCCACAAATACTTCCACACATACAAAAAGATATCAGTGTACAGAAGCTTACTTTAGAGCACCGTTTATGGAACAGCAAGAAAAACCTCAAAATAAAAAGCTCAGAAAACTAAGTACCTAATAAAGTTGTAACAAACACAAATTACACAGTATTTACAAAACATAATTTTGTCATAGACTGATCAGGAAACCTGTCTTAGGTGTGTTAATTATAAAAAGGTTCGGAACAGCTTTTTCCCCCTCTCTGGCTGCCTGAAGCACTACAATCATCATGAATGACACCAGGAAGCTCATGACCAACTTACTACCGAAGAGGAAACAAATGGTTGTCGTCATCCTTCACTCTGGGAAGGCGACAGTGCCTGCAACAGAAATTCATGGAAAGCTAGCTAAAATGTACAAGACCATCCCAGATATCATTATTGCATTTGAATTCAAAATCCATTTTGGTGGTAGCAAGACAACTGACTTTGGCATGATTTTTGATTTCTTGTATTACAAAGGGAAACACAGGCATGGACACAGGCACGCATACATACATGCACGCAATCCAACACAGACTTGCAAGAGATGGCCTGTATGAGAAGAAAAAGACCTCAAGAAAACAGCAATAGGAATGCAAAAACAGGATGAACAGTCAGCGGTATTGCAAAGGCCAATGCTGGCAATGGTAAAAACCACTAAAGATTCTATAGTGACTTTTATTTGTGGTGATTGTGCAAATTTTCTATGAGAGAATAACTTAAAATCTAAAAAAAAGTGGGCCTCCTTGGTGGCACAGGGATTAAAGACTCAGCACTATCAAGCTATTGCCAGTCACTGCAGCATGAGTTCGACCCCCACCTCCCATCCCCAATCCCTGGCCAGGGAGCTGACCCATATGGCGCAAAAGACCTTTCCAGCCTCACCCTGCTCTCCTCAGCAGTGTATTTCAAAAGATCCACCTGTTCTGCTCCCCAATCAGTCTCTGATGAATCCACTCACTCCCCTGCACCTCTGGCCTGCACCCCAGTTCTTGTATGCATAAATAAAAACAAATTAAGAAAAAACAACTGAAGAGTTTCAGAACAGTATGCTGCTGTTTGCATAGTTAAAAA